ATTAAAGGCGAAAAATCGAGGATAGTTTCGTGTGACATATGCCAGTCTGGGCTATTTTGGTCTCAATGTTTCCTTCCTTCCCTCGTTATAAGGAAGGCACAGGCGGGCGCGGGCAAATCGAGCCTGGGCCTCCTGTGGTATTTCGCGCCTGCACGCGAGCAATTTCTGACCCGTTACGCTTGGTCAGGTATTTCGCAGAGGTCAGCAATTTCGCTTGACACCGGTTTACACTATCAAAGTCTCTATGGTCACAGGAGGAGTTTTAAATGGATAACTGAAATTAATACCGGAAAAAGCACAAGGTTACAGGTAAGGACGTTCGTCCAGTTTATTAGTATTAGCCATCCTGTAGACTAGAAATACAGATAATTTCAATCATCATAACCTCGATCATAACAGTTGAGACCGCGATTGTTAGTAAATGCAATTGCAGGCATGCACTTATATAGAATCGACCCGAGACTGTTGGGTAGTCAAAAATGCCACAGTCATTAGTATTTTGACTAATTGTAAATACTTATAATCATGTGTAATGACTTAGTTATACGTAAAAAAAAAGTGGCGACAATTTAAAATAAACTGTAGCAAGTACGCTACATGCTTGTTTCAGCCCAGTTGATAGCGATTTATATGTGCCCGTAGGGCAGTTTAACTTCGAGCGGCGGCTTAGTTTTAGTCAGAACTATTTTCATCCCATGTTGTTAAACCGCTGAAATGTAGCCTGTGTAGAAACAGACCTTTCTAGCTCGGGTTGAAAGATACGATCGCGATTTGAAGCATTTTCGGCTATTTGACTTTGTGTGTGAGTTTGTGGTTACACCTGCATGGTTACACATACAGCTGAAACAAACACGCAAAACAAAGCCATTAAAACGATTTTTTAAAATTATTTGCGATTACATATGCTGCCCGGACTGTGTTGAGTTAATGAGTTTCAGTCTGGGTCAAACCGGGCTGGTATTTCAGCCCGGGACTAATTGTTCATAGTTGTCAACTGTCAAAACCTACAGTAGCTCAGGTTTGCCACTGTTTAAGCGTGAGTACGAAAATAACAATCGTGAATTTAATAATATTTATGTATTGTAAACGAATCACTAACTGCACGTAGGCGAAAACTGTTTGGACGTGTAAATATAATGAGTTCAAGCGATCAGAGAGATGCAAGCATATTTGGACTATAAATGGAAAAATTATGTTACGGGAAGATGCTTCTCCAGTTTTTGGTCTTGTACATGCTAGGGACTTCGATGCTTTCTGAATGAATCCTTTTAATAACAATGTGTGCTCTCTTGCATATCATGCTTGCGACTGTTCACATGCAAATAAATAGACCTTTCCCCTTATGAGTGAAATTTTGAAAGATGATCAAACTGATTATCAATTTCCCATTTGTAATCTGTGGTAATACAAATTGACTGAAAAACGGCAAACTTCGCAAGGCTATATTATCCGCATTTTACAACATTTCGCAACGAAACTTCGGAATATTACTAATTTTGTGATGCTCTTTCAAGCTGTGATGAAATTTTTGTCCAGACTTGTCTAGATCAAAGTTTCACTCAAAAGGGGAATTAAAGGTCTATTCCTTATTATTTAAATTATAGAAAGGTAATTCAACAATTCAATATACATCATGTAAATTACCTATAGACATTTTTTCCATAGATGACTTATATAGAAGGCATAATTGAATTATGCCTTCTATATAAGTCATCTATGGAAAAAATGTCTATAGGTAATTTACATGTATACTGAATTAGTTGAATTACCTTTTTATAATTTAAATAATAAGGAGTTTAACGCCCGTATTCTAAAAGCTCACTCACACTCACACTCAATGAGTGGAGGTTCAATCTGAGCTTCTCTTGAGTGTCAATACTGTTTTTTAATAGCTGGGGGTGAGTAGTCACATAGTAAGGTATACGACACTAACCCTCCAGCTAGTCATAAACAGCATTGACACTCGAGAGAAGCTCAGATTGAACGGCTTCCACTCATGTATCATTGAGTGTGAGTGAGCTTTTAGAATACGGGCGTAATCTTGATTATAGATGTGTGGATTCTAATATTGACTTATATAAATTGTTACCAAACCCAGATAAATTAGACGAAAGCGATCCGGATTGTATGCTAGATAATATATGCTCTGACTATTATCAGAGTGAAAAAGTTGATAGAATCCTTAAGATGAAAGGTCCTAAATCACTTTCTCTACTTCATTGTACGGAGTTATTGTAGCCTAATATAAGAAGTCTTCCAAAGAATTTAAATTTGTTAAATGACAGGATGTATTCGCTTTCAGAAAAACCAGATATTGTAGCAATTATACTGAAACTAAATTAAATAATAATACTGTTATAAATATTGATATATCAGGCTATAAATTCTATCATGTTGACTCGATGCATGACTGCGGCTGGTGGAGCTGGTATTTATGTTTGCAATAGTTTAAAAGTAATTGAAAGACCGGACATTAAAAAAATCATGACCAGCCGACAATTTAAAAAAAATAAAGTAAAAAACAAATTCCGAAAAGACAAGACATCTTGAGAATTCAATATATGATTCAGAATAAGACGTAGGTTGAGACGTAGGTTGAGTCGAAAATTTACAGTCCGTCAACCTACGTCTTGTTTTGAATCATATATTGAATTCTCAAGATGTCTTGTCTTTTCGGAATTTGTTTAGTTTTACCGGACATTGAGCCTGGTTATCAGAAAAAAAACAACATCGTTATAGGGTGCATATATAGACATCCAAAAGCAAGTATCCAAATTTTTACAGACCAATTGAATGAACTGCTTACGCAATTAAATCAACACAAATATCAATTTTTTATATATTGGGAGATATAAAAATTGATTTCCTCCAATACTTGAACCATCAACCTACTGAAACATATTTAGATATGTTGCATACTAAAAATACCATTCCCCTTACTACTAAACCCACAAGAATAACAAATCACACCCGGCTTCGCTACCTTCGCCACCCTCGCTACCCTCGCTACCTTCGCTACTTTTGCTACCTTCGCTACGCTCGCTACATTCGCTACATTCGTTTCCCTCGCTACCTTCGCCACCTTCGCTACCCTCGCTATCAGTGGCGGAAATCTTGGTGGGGGCGGGGGGCGGCCGCCCCCTTCCCCCCCCCACCTTCACGGAAAATTGACGAATTTTTTGGAAATTTTGACCTAAAAGAGGGCTAGAAATAGTCTTGTATGCTAAAAATAGTCTCGGGTATGTCGGAAATTTGAGAGTTTTGTCGGAAATTTAGGAGGCTTTGCCCCCCCCCCCAACGGAAAAAGTGAATTTCCGCCACTGCTCGCTATCTTCGCTACCTTCGCTACCTTCGCTATACCTTTGCTATACTCGTACATAATAATAATAATAATAATAAAACTTTATTTAATGAGGGATTACATTGATTACTTAATATAGTATTCTTCCCAATGGCCCTCGATATCCAATAGTAATATATAAAAAGAAAATCCTATTGAGAGTAACATTGACAATGAGTAATATGCTTACAATCGATGCAGCGGAATTTATTAACGTGATCTACTTCATAATTCAATTGAATAAAGTAGGTTTTGAGCTTCTTTTTATAGGAATAAATTGAGTGATTTTCAATATCTTTTAATTCGGAAGGTAAAGAATTAAATAAACTTGCACCACTGAAGGAAATTTTGGATTTTGCTTGCGTAGTCTTAACTGATGGAACTTTTAAGTCTGTAATAGACGATCTAGTTGGAATTGGATGAGAGTCGCGAACAAAGACAAACAATTTACGAAGATCCGGCGGCCAAGATGTTTTTAAAGTATTGAATACCAATAATATTTTTCTCATTTTGATCAGATTAAAAATAGGTATCCAGTTGAGTTTACGGAAAAGCACAATTGAAGGCACTTCAGTTGACTGCTCAAGAATTAGTCTCGCAGCACGTTTCTGTAGTTTTAGTAGGCACGTAATTAGTTCGTTATTAGCATCGCCCCAGACTGTGCTACAATATAGCAAGTGTGGGTAGATTAGTGCGTAATATAATTGAATACGGGATTGGAAAGTGAGATAGCTACGTATATGTTTGAGCAGGTAAAGTCTAGTATTGATTATATTGTAGATGGTATTAATTTGCTTATCCCATTTCAAATGTTGGTCTAATGTAACCCCAAGTAAAATGGCGGATGTAATCTCCTTAACATTATTGTTATTGACTTCAATGGTTATTGGACTAAGATCAGGGAATTTAGATTGGGAATATATTTTCATTATTTTTGTCTTGCCAGGATTAAGAGACATTTTGTTATGGTTAGTCCAACGGGACACTGAGGTCATATCCGACTTTAGAGACACTAAGTTCGTGAAGATCCGATCCGGAGGATATTAGTGTGGAGTCATCGGCAATTAAAAAAGGCTTAGAACTTCCAACGTAACTGGGTAAATCGTTAATAAAGATAAGAAAGAGAATTGGTCCTAGTATAGATCCTTGAGGCACACCAGACTTTATCAGAGCTGGGTTGGATAGGAATGATGCAATTTGCACTACTTGGTAACAATCATTTAGATACGATTTAAACCATTTTAAAGCTATTGGAGTAATGCCATATTGTTCTAATTTCTGCAGTAGCAATCTATGATCGACCAGGTCAAACGCTTTGGAGAGGTCAATTAGAGCTATACCATTAATTAAACCTTGCTCAATGTTATCGAGAAGGTGTTCACAGATCAATATTAGAGTAGATTCACAAGAGTGATGGGCTCGAAAACCATGCTGGCAACTTGATAGAATATCATTTTCTGTGAGGAATTTTACATATGAGTTGGCAACATGTCGTTCGAGGAGTTTAGATAGAATCGGTAATATAGAAATGGGCCTGTAATTGTTTCTCTCAGTACGTGTTTCAGCTTTATAGATTGGAATCAGTCTAGCTTTCTTCCACATGTTGGAAAAGACAACATTTTCAATGCTCACGTTACAAATGCGAAGTATTATGGGTGCAATGGAATGATTCGAGGACTTGATGAAGTAGGCAGGAATACCATCAAGACCGGTTGACTTGTTCTGGTCTAATTCGGCTGCAAGATTTAGTATGTCATCGATTGTTATCAGTG